GCCGCGGGCCGCTCGCCGCTCCCGGCCGCGGCGAAACCGACTCGGCAAAGCCTTTCAAATGTCGATGCTCAGTGTTTACATAGGGCCTCTTTCAGATCTCGGCACTCACCTGCCAGTTGATAAAACTGCATTTTCCAGGCGACAGGCATTAGTATTTGAACCACTTGGGTTGTTCTCCACCCCTCCCCCCTTCAGAAGAGAGGAATAATTTGAAAAGTGTCTTTCTCCACACAGACTTACGTTTGCGTCTTGCTAGCCACAGAGAGATACGTGCTGCAGCTGGGAAATACTTTCACAGTTAGTGGCCTTCTCCTGTGACCTGGGCCAGGATATTCTGACCCAGGAACGATGTAGCAAAACTCGCCTCCCCTACACCGAGGCAAAATAAAACAGCAAAATGACTAAAAATAAAGAAAAGCGAAAAAACAAAACAAAACAAATAATAATAAAAAGAGAAACTAGCGATAACTTTCATTTTTTGCTCCTTCCCAAGGCCATGTAACAGAATACAGTATCAGGCGAGTGAATTAGACTTCAAGCAAGTGGATTTACTATTCTGGGGGAAAGGAATGCAAAGTCCGTTTCAAAGAATTATCTCTAGGGAGTCCTCCAAGTTTATTTGGGGTTATCCGTGATTTGAAAGGAAAGACTAAGCGGGAGAGAGTCTGAGAAAAGCTTGCCATTGTCACCCTACCCTAAGGTGAGTAAAGCATCCCTGTAAAGTTAGCTGCAAAGAGCTGCTTAACCTAAGACCGAGAGGTGAAAGCTCTCCTTGCACGAAGCCGCCTGGCTGGATAGCCTGAATTTCGAGCTACAAAGGAGGCATGAAGCCCCGGCTCTCTTGGGTTTATTTTCCGTGGCGGGGAATTCAGAGCACTTTGCGATTGATTTCGCAGGGGCAGCTTTTCCAGGAAGGTAGGAGCATCTGAAAGGAGCCCTTCTTTTCCTTCGGGGCTCTCCTGATCCGCTGCAGCAGGAGCTGGTGTCGCGCAGAGTCTCGCTCGTGACGGGGGCCGAGGGATGGGTCTGCCGCGGTCCGTCTGGGGGGAAGACCTCGCCAACCTCCCCATTCACTTGGAGACCCTCCAAGATAAGTCTTCGCCCTGCATTGTTCATTAGTGGAAGGACAAGAAGTCGCACCCCCCTCCCCGTTTATTTTCCACTCAGAAATGATCTGATTGCAAGTATTTGAGATTAGATTGTCTGTTAAATTAAGCATACCCGAGAGCAGAGAGGTAGCTGCCAAAAAATCTGGCTAAAGTCTGGCTATCGAGTAAAAAAGCAGGATTATTTGTCAGCTAGGGTAGACAGTCTTAAAAAAATTGAAAATGTTGCATTCTCATATAAATAAGAAAAAGCCTTTTCTAAGGCACTGTGTTTCCCAGAAGGCTACAATACTTTTGAGAATTTAATATGGGGATTATTCACCAGTCACCAGACTGTTCTTTTGAGGCAAAAATCCCGGGTATGTTATAAGACAGTTTGCTTTTTTCCTCCTTTTTGTGCTCCGCACACAAACAAACATAGCGCATCCCCCCACAAATTTATTTCCAAAGGGGGGGGGGTGTTGGCTCCGACAAGACTTTTCACGAGAGCCTAAATGAGGCAAAACTGGGACAGGCGTACACGGACACATTGTTAAAGTGGTCAGTGGAGGGATATGGCTAAAAGCATCACATAAGCTTTAATATTTTTTATGCTATGGCTCATAGCTGACTTTCAAACGCTCTAGCTATAAGTAAACGTCCTTTTAGTTTTCTGAACTACGCTTCCGATGGCTAGTGCATCGGGACGTGAGAAGCACGGTGGTGTTGAAGGGCAAGGGTCTTCTTAGTGTACATTATACGCACTTATATGTGTCTGTGAGAAAACAGATGTGAAGTGTGGAAATAAAAATAGCAATTTTATTTTGTCAATGGATTTTTCCCCTATATATATGTAGTCTCTCCCTAAAAATACGCACACATATATATTTCCCTGATCTTTTCTAAATGTATAAGTGATCTTCTCTATCACTCATCTGAAAAGGCAGCACTGCATGTTCTTTTTCATGTTTGCTTGTTTATGGAGTGGAGTTGTTTGTTTGTGAAGCACAAGTTACCTCTAGTCATGGCATCAATATCATTTGCATTTAGGTGAATGAGTAGGAATTATTAGTTCTATTTTTATTATTAAAACAGTGAAGGTAAAAGTACTGATAATTAAATATGGGTCTCTCTGACTACAGGTTGGAACAGCAAAATCGATTGTCTCTTCATCAATCAAGTGTTGGCTAGCTTGCTATTGATTAGTGTGTTTATTTATGCAGAGCTTTAGGTATTTACTTACATATTTCGGTTTCTTTGTCTGCTAATTATTATACCAGGTTGGTTTGAAAGAAAGAGCTTAGAGTGGGAAACACACTTGACAGATCCATTCTTAGCTAACCTGATAGTGGATTATTGCAATCCAATAAGTTTAACAAATTACTTATACGTGCTTGCCTTTTGAGCAATTAGGAAATCGTTTCAGATTAAACCCCCCCGTTACATTCGGGGTCGGTTCGCTTAAATAAAGGGGCATTCTGTCTAGATATTTTCAAAATGAAAAATAATTTTCTCGATCTGCGGAGTCTGCGCGGGAGCCGATGTTCCTTTCGCCTTGCAGGCCTTCGGCTTCCTTGGTAAGCGTAAAACACCTTCCCAGCAACATAGGGCCTCTAGGATTTTCTCATAGATGGAATTTTAGAATCGGAAGTGATGTGGATGTGAAAATCAGGAATCGGTTTATTAGCAAAAGGATTGGCATTCAAATATTACAGTGCTCCAAATAACACGATATTTTAAATTGCTTTTTGGCTTGTTAATGGAATATGTTCAAAAGGGATAGCCCCAGCCACGCTTGCTAGAAGAGCTGGTTTCCAGCCATCCCCTCCGCGCTTCGCAGAAGGCTGACATTTTATTATATTTTAACATACTTTTTGTCTCAACGCTGGCATTTTCACTTGTGCTTGTTTCGGGGAGGGCTCTGCCTTTTCGGTAACGTTCCTTCTCCACCTCGACAGCGTTGGCACAGGAGAGGGAGCGCAGGACGGGGCAGCGGGAGGCAGTGTAAAACCCGGGAGCGGAGAGGGAAGGCCGGGCAGCGGCGCCGCGGGGGTCCGAGCGACAGCTTGTGACGGGGGAGCGGGACTTGCTCGCGGTGCCGACGAGGTGTCGAGCCCGTGTCTGCGAAGAGGAGCTCTCTCCAGTTCCTGCTTGACTTTTGCTTTCCGTAGTTTTTTTTTTTCCCCCCCTGAGGGGGGGGATTTTTTCCCCCTTTACCTCGAGCAACTGCTGTCTTGCAACCTGTAGAGATAGGACGGCCTCGCATCAGATGATCACAGAGATAAGTAATCTCTCCCCTCGGTCCGTGGTATAGCTGACCGTATGCGTTTGAATCTTAGAGCGCTAAGTCTTTCCTGTGAATGAACGAGAAAACACTCGACAGGTCGTGAATAATCGTTTTAATGAGTGTGTAAAAGCGTGCGACGGGGTGCACGGAGCTGTCGGGTTAAACAAACAACTTGTACCCTGACGAAATCCGATTGTTAAAGTGCAAAGTGGTGTCAGTCCAATTTCCATCCCAGTCCTAAAAACCACAGATCTAAGTCGCGGGAGTCCAATTTTCCACATTAAAGAAAAATAACAATATTTTCTGAACATAAGTGCGATCGTCCCTAATGTTAGCCTTTGCTAAACGAAAAGACCAGTTGAATAGCCCACGATATCGCAATTGTTTCTGTTCTTTTTTGAGTTATTTTTAAGAACTGAGTATGAAAGTGTACCTTTGACATTTTCCTAAATATTATCTGATCAATTCTGTAAATATTTTCTTTTTTTCTCTCTCCCTCTCTTCCCTCGTGTGTGTGTTTTTTCACAGATCACTGGAGGTAAACATCGAATTAATTGGATCTGAATGACTGAGGTTGGTAACTTTGTATTGAACTGAGGTTATCTCTGTCAAAATGTCCAGGCGCTTACATATCAGGCAGAAATTTCAGGCAATTCTCGAAAAGTCAGATCCAGAGTACGTACAAAAGTACAGTAAAACGGAGCTGCAATATTTCCGGTACTGTATACTCAAAGTTGAAAACACATAGTAGTACATTAAAATGGGGTTGCAATATTTCCAGTACTGTATACTCAAAGTTCAGTTATCTTACTCCTATGCGCGTAGGTAACACAGTACACGCTGTTAATCTATAGACAAATATAGAGAGTATAAATTCTGGAAAAAAATTCTGGAGGAGTTTATCTTTAGAAAACCTGCAATCAGAATAGACAGGTCCTTTTTATTTACAAGCAGAGTGCCTTGTAGTATTTTGCAAATGCAAAAACCACTCCTTTAAATCAACTGCTTCTTTTTGGGAGTGGGTGGGTAGTTGATTATTTAATGAGATGTATTACTAATATTTATTGTTCCTGAAGTCTTCCGGACCGGCTACAAGTCTTGTCCTTTCTGTGGAAAGTCCTTTTCAGAAGTGTCCTCCCTTTCTTTGAAAATACCAGTTAGAGCAAAGTAAGGCAATTCAAGATGAAAACCAATGCTTTAGAAAAAATTTTTCATAATGTGGTTTCGTTTAATACTCGATTTTTCAGAAATAATATAAGACAGTAGAAAATAAGCGATATGACAAAATATTTTACTAGGTCACTGACATAATCGGGATCAATGTTGTCTCCAATGATACAAATGGGAATTTTACCTTTGATACTAGTGGGAGTCAGATCTGGCCCTTCTTGGATTGAATTTATAGATGACTTTAGTCTCAAATCGATATCCAGCATTTGTAACATTTTGATTTAAACACTAGAGTTTTTCCACCAACGTAATTTCGTGCTGTGCTTTAGGAACAATGTAGGCATTAAAAATGAACATCATTCAGTGTTCCTAAGTGCAGTAGAAAACCCTTTGGATATGTTCTTCTGCAAGCAGTGTTTAAAAGAAAAAGAAAAAGAAAAAGAAAGAAAGGAAAAAAGAAAAAAGAATTAGAAAAAGGGGCGAAAAGAGAAGAAAAGGGGTGGAAAAGAGTGGGAGAGATTGAAAAAGAGAGAGAAAGAGAAAAGATAAACCAGCCCTGGTGGATCTGGTAGCAGATCTATAACTAACGAGCCACACGATCATATAACAGTATTTAACAAGCATCTGACAAATGTTCTAGGCAGTACAGCATTTTCAACCATGGCTTTGTTCAGATTGTATGACTTGAAATACGTCGTTGCTCGGACCAGTCTGAAGGCGGAAGATTGTCAAAATCGAGCTGGTGTTCGTTTCCTGGGTTAGGGCGCCTTTCCTGAACTCCCTGCGGGTGAAAAAGGGATGCAGGGTCAGCTCCACAGACGAAAGATATAGGAGAATGAAAGACAAAGCACGAGGACATGTGCCTAGCAAGCACAACAGGACAGAGGATGCATCCTGAGAGCTAGGAAACATTTCTCATCCAAATGAAAAAATAATGCCCTCCTACTACATCTGCAATTTCCTTTGCAACACAAACATGCATAAAATGGGCATGGTAGATAGCAAAGACCTATCAATTTCCTTCTGTATTTCTGCTAATAAATAAACTTCTAAATGTTAAAAACACTCTTATCTGTCACATTCACAAGATAGGTAGTGTAAATTCCTGTTGCAAATATACAAACAGAGATCCAAGAGGTTGCCTCTGTTTTTGTATATCTTTCTCTCAAGAAATGCACTATCAAAACATTAATTATATTTGAAAGGGAGCAGATTATTTGTTTGAGAAAGAATTACATTCTTGAATTTATATTCCAAGCAGATCTCTCCTCCTGTCTGCCGAGAGGGTTGAACTGTAAATCTGTCTCAAATGATGTACCCCTAAAACGGAGGTAGGTGTGTCACATTAGAGTTGTAGAGAGATGCGAGATAGTCTGTAGGTGCTTTTCGACACCTCTGTAGGATGGATCGTTAGGGAATGTCGAAATCAACATGAAAGTGCAAATCTTACATGTGAAGAACATACACCCTTATTCTTTGACAAAGGGAATACAAACACACGTAGGCACGCAGGGATGATCCTAGTTAGTTATTAAACACTGTGACTCACGGGAGTTTGGGCCTACAGTTCCTGTTTATTTTTTAAATGCCACGTGCACATCTTGCGGTAGCTGAGAGCTGAACATCTACCAACCATGTGAGCCATCAACCATCATTTAAAGATTTTGCCTTATTTCCTGCTCTTTAAAAGATTAATAAAAGGGTTAAACAGATGCCCTCATATCTCTACCTTTCTTCTGAGAAAAAGGGCGATCTGCTAGGGCTTTATTAGCAGCTTCTGAAATATTGTCTTTGGAATCTTCTTCTTTTTTTTTTCCTTTTTTTTTTTTTTTGCACTCTCCATTAGCCGTTTAGCATTTCCTAGCATACCTTCAGAAGCCTTTAGATACCTCAATACAATCGGTTTTCGGCATCGCAAGTGTTTTAACGGCCGTTGATGTGAACAGTCCGTTCAGAGGGGTGTCTGTGGCTATCTTTTCATACTTGTAGAAAATGGGCAATAGGTCGACACCCTTAGCTCGGGAGCGGGGGAAGCTGCGGTAGCACCAGGTCCTGAAGAGGTGGGCCCTTCCCTCTCTTCTTGCATTTCTTGAGATTGCCTGAGTGGCTTCCTGGAGCCCTGGGAAAGCCAAGCCACGGGGGCTGACGGGCGGTCGCAGCGAGTGCCGGGGGGCGGGCTTCTCGCCTCTGGCAGTGCCTGGGATGTGCTCTCTCTCTCTCCCTGATTAGGTATCTGCGGAGGAAGAAGGTGACGTGACGAGAAACGCCTGACAGCCAAAGTGGGGAACTGTCCGGGAGAAGGATACGTGATGAATGAGGTCTGCGTGGTCATGATGCAGAAGCAGAACAGGACAGTGTGCTGGCACCAAATGCTTTTTTTGTTCGCAAAAAGAAAAAGGGAGGGGGAGGAGGAGGAGGAGAAGGGAAGGCATTGGGG